TTTTTCTTTTTATAGTACAAAAAATAAAGTGAACAAGCACAAAAGCTGAGCAAGCTATTACAACATTTGATAAATATTTTAGCAACGAAATATACACTCCGGCATAAATTATTTATATAAGCGCAGAAAAAATCTTTAAAATTTCGACACAATAATATACGGACGAATAGTAGCTATCAGTCTATAATTCAGCATCTTCAATCACGGAATCACTATCACTTATTTGTGTCCGATATTCCGGATAGTAAAGTGCTATCATGTTTAGATATGTTTTGAACATGCAAGGGCAACCTGTGAATTCCGGTATCGCCTGGTACTCACGGCAGTCATCGAATTCAGAACGACCTGTGAAATATTTAATTGTGAAATATATAAATAAAACGGGCACTCCAAATAAACAGGTAAGAAGGTCTTAAGTTATAAAAAAAATTTATAATTTCTATGAAGTTAATTTTAAGGGCCGTTAACTTAGCATTCTCATAGTATAATAAATCATTAGTTAAACTTAACTACAAAAAATTCCATAGAAATTTATGTGGTTAAGTTCAACTAATGATTTAACTATACTTTAAAATAGATAAGTTAACGGCTCTAAGTTTATATAAAAACTTATAAGGAAAAATTGTCTTAGCCTACTTTGAAGAATCCATAAATCAAAAAGTCTTGTTGATTACTAAAAAGTTTCTTCAAATAATGGTTTCAAACCTGTTATCATCGAAGTAATCCAAAAGAAAGTTGATACTTGGGAACTGGATAGCTCGAAGTCTACCCTGCTATTACATTATATAAGAGATCTTTGTCTGTAAATAGTAGTTGGTCCTATAACGTGGAATGAAATGGGGCGCAATTTCAACATCAAACTCGCTGTTGATAGAGAGAGAGCAGTGCGACGGCCATGCGATTGTGAGTTTTCGTTAATATGAAAATCCCATAAGATAGGTCGTGTCAGCTGACACGGTCTACGATTTTACGTCGATAGCTGATTGAACTTTTGGAGCGCATCAGCTGACACGATCTCTATCTCTTTATCAACAGTGAATTGGCTACGTTTATACGCACCTCTTACAAAAAAGAAAAAATAAAATGGTCTAAATTTCTTCCACGGGTCTCTCAGTGTGTCTAAACAAATACATATGTACGTGTGTAACTCTTCTTGGACAATAGCACAACTTCCTAATTAACAAAAACTACTGCTCGTATCAAATTAAATTTGCACTATAAAAAAAAAAAATCTGATTTTCAATGCTTTTTAAAATAACTCGGCCCTAGCGCTATCTACCAGGTTAATCGTTATAAAAAAAAATTGTTTCGATATATGTGGCTCACGCGCATACCTGTGCATATATGTACATACAGTTGTGTTCAAAAAAATAGCAGTGCGACGGCGCAGAATGATAAAAGCTACTTTTTGACATGTTCTGCTTTACAACTTGAGGAATTTCCCTATATTTCCCACCAAAAACCAGCTGTTCAAAAAAATAGTAGTGCTTAACTTGAGAAGCTCTTACATTTTAGGCAAATAAAAATGTCCCCACAATTAGATGTTTTTAAGTTATTAGACTTGTTTCAATGTAAAATTACAAAAAATACGTAGATAAGGAAATCAAGACAAAATGTACAAAAAAAAACTCACATGTATGAGGTATGAATACAACGTTCAAAAGGGTTTAATGAATTAGTCCACTTAAGGTTATCGCGTCTTAGTATTAACTAATAACTTCAAATTGGATATGTCTTCTTACCAGGGTGTCCAGATTGTTAAAAAAAAGCGCAATTTCTGAAAAAAATCGCCAATTATTTTTTTAAATAAAATTCATGAAATCGATTTAACAAATCTTTTATTTTAAAAATGAGATCTTGCTATAATATAGTTTTTAAAACCAAAAACGAAAATAATACCTTCAGAGGGTAATAATAAATAACACAAATCACTTATATAATAGTGATAAACAAACAATTTTCTTTAAAAATACGCATACTTTTTAAAAATATTTGTTTCAACAGATTTTGCAATATGACTGCGTAATTATTAAATTTATTATAACTCATATTAATTGATTAATCGCACAATCCGCTTTTAAGAGCTCGGCGCTAAAAAGACAAAAAAAAAAATTCCTTCAAAATCACCTATAGTGTCTGAATGATATACATTTCTGTTGTTGTCATATATTGAGCTATTCAACCTTGATAACATAAAGTTTGATATTGGAAACGTTTTGCAGCGGAAACTATTAGCTTTCATATAACACTTTATTCGAACTATTTTATGGCCTTTAAGGCTTTCCAACCTCATCCTATTTCGAATCTTAGTTTTTGTTGAGTTCATTACGGGAAAAACGCGCTCAACAAAGCATGTGCGTGCGACAAGGATAATAATATGAATTTACTTATGTTTCCAAACATTTTATTGCCTGTTGCGGTTTTCACTCCGTAAGTAATTATCCAATATTCTTCAGAGTCGGATGGAATGGTTCGGAGAGAAGCTATTCCATGCGAAAGTTAATAGATTTAAATATTCAGTTTCCGCTGCTTTTCTTTCTTTCAAAGTCAAATATTGAATTGGCAGGTCCCTGAAACTCGCCCTCTTGTGATTCACACACTTTTCTGGTGACAAAATCAAAGCTTTTTTTTAAAAGTTTTGAATTGACTAGGTAATCGTTTCAAAAGTTCTTCGATTAGGGCGATTATACGTTTTTGACAGTCTTTTAATATTCTTTTTAAGCCAAGTTTATTACGCAGTTCATTAGCCTCTTCTGTAGAATTATCGTGGAAAACTAAGTTTTGTATATTTTTATAAATTGGCGCGAAATCGCCAAATCTGGACACTCTGCTTCTTACAGTCGCTATGATCAACGTCAATTATGGATAAACACGTGTACTACATGAATGTTGGAAAATAACAACAAAAAATGCGCTTAATAGATTAACGATGCAAGAAATACCAGTTAACTACGCAAAAAGTTATTTGCGTCCAAATATGATCGGTATAAGGCAAAGAGGAATTCCATATGCGAGCTCTAAAAGGAAAGAAAGTCTGCGGGGAAAGGTTAAAAGATTCATGGCAGCTACAAATCTATTAACAAAAACAACAAGCTAACAAATTCTGAAAGAGAAATGGGTTAAAATCAGTATTAGACGCTATCAGGACCTTAGCCGCCCTCTGAAACAACGTAATTTATCCAAATTAGACTAAAAAAGTTTTTAAATAAAAGATACCAGACACAAATAAACAAATAAACAAACAAAGTACAAAACATTAGCTATATGTCTACTTTTAACTTCGTTAAGGTAACCACTACTATTATTTTGAACAGCACTATTGTTTGGTTTAAGCCCTAGTATATGTGACCTGGTCTACGAAAAGGGAGCTTACGTGCGAAAACTAGTTTTCTGTGAAAAAGCTGTTAAAAGTAAGCAACTCGTTTCGTCAGTTTCTCATTATCTCGTTAATTGTTCTCCGCGCCGGACGTCCAGTAAGTGTTGTTGTTGGTCGGAATATTATTATAGTTCATCGTGTAAGTTGCTAGTGTGGAAGATTTAAAAAAGTAACACTGAAGAAGTGACGTTTACTGTTTCTTTCTCTACATTTTTAGTACACTTCTAAGCAAGTTAGGATTTTCTGCTTTTCACCACGTGAAAAAGCATCTCATCTTCCATCCGAATCAACCAAAAAGTGAAAATTGATTTTTTGACACCTAAGCCCCCTTTCCGTAGACCAGGTCACATATAAAAAAACATGAATATATGAAACATTAAATATTCTGGCCGCTGTGGTGTAGCGGTAAACAGTGCGCGCTTCCACTCCGCAGGTCCTGAGTTCAAGCCCTGGTCAAAGCAACGTCGCAAAAAATATTACAAACAGCGGTCGCCGTTGGCAGGCAATGGAAAACCTCCGAGTGTATTTCTGCAATGAAAAACTGCTTCTCATAAAAATACAATCGCCGTTCGGAGTTGGCGTAAAACTGTAGGTCCCTCCCCTTTTTGTGACAACATAAGGGCGCACGCCACAAATCGGAGGAGAAGCTCGGCCAAACACTAACATATGTGTAAGCGCCAACCTATTTTTATTATTATCTATCATCTACTTTTTTTTACATTGTATATGCATCCTTTATGTGTAACACTTGAGTTCCTTGTTTGATAGGAATGATCCAGCGGCTCTACTATTTTTTTGAACACAGCTGTATGAATACGGTCTACCAGAACAAAAAACGTTCGCCGTATGCCCCTCAGTCTGAAGTATTTTTACTAGGCAGTTTTTGTTTTTTTGCTGAACGTAGGGGTCGGCATTTAAAGCTGAATCTTAAAGTATGATATATAGATTTTCTTGTCTACAAGGGAAATTTTTTATTCCTAAAATTCATTTACATCAAATCAAGTACTCCTTTCCGGTCAAGGTGTATTAAACAAGGTGTGATATACAACTCGGTGTGGCTCTCTTTTAAGTTAAAATATATATTTCATATATATATATTTTTTTTTCAATTTGACTTTACAGGATGTTCTTATGAGAGCAATGTCAAATTCAATCACACTTTGTAAAATACATCTTGGTTCCAGTACTCTCGCACCAGATCTCAGTGCCCATCACCCTAATAAACTAAAGATCTTCAAAAATCTTTAAACTTTTTCTAATAAAGTATTTTGAATATTCGAGTGGAACAATTCTAAAAATATTTTTTTATTGTCGAATGTGCCACCGAAAAATTTAAAAAGTTAACCCTCGGTTTGGACAAAAAAAAACTTTCGAAATTGGGATGTTCGGAAAAATTTTTCTGTTTGCATGTTAAGTGGTATGGTCTTCGCTACCTAACGCATTTGCCTTTTGCTAAAATATTTACTTTAGTGTAGTTAAAATGTGTTTCAATTTTGACCCAAATAAGACAATAACAATATATCGACCTCAGCGCCATCTACCGCGCACCACTATAGCCCTATACCCATCATGGCGTTTACTTATAAAAATTCTCACCTCGTGGTGTGCATTCGTGCATAGACTCTTCAGCTTCATTTTGAAAACTTATTTCTATAAAATAAAAAAAAGCAATTCTTTACCGACTCAAATTGAAATATAAAATCAAAAGAGTCACCTTCTTCACGCTCATCGCAACAGGGATCGCGAACCGCGTCTTGCCGTGAGCTCTGTTCCACGAATTGAGCACGTGATTGCGGTTCGTACTGCAGAATTTCTTGTGCGCATCTGGCTTCCTCCTCCGGCATTTCTTGATGGGGCTGCAAATTGGTATTAAATCGTGGCGGTCGCCTATCTGCAGCATTTTGATATTTCGTTGATTTCAAACTTGATTGCGACTCATCTTGCCAAGATGTCACAGTGCAATCACTCATCGGTTGACCAGGAACAAATTTCTTATCTTGCTGCCACGGTAAATAGAAATTCTTGTGGTCTGCGCCTTTTGAATACACTTTTTGTTGTTGCTGTCTTGGTTCTTGTGCGACGATGATTTGCGTTTGCTCAGAATCGCTAAATTGATCGTTACTAAAATTTGCTTTCCCCTTGTATTCTTCATCCCCTTCGTCACATATAAACTTATTATTATTGTTTTGTGGACTTTCGGAATCGCAAGCCAATTTAAAATCCTGACAGGGGGAAGCGCATGCGCTAGGAAAGTGCGGCGGTGAAGTCTTAGCTTCATCTACTGATGCCTGCCTGCAGTGTTTGGGTANGAAACTTATTATTGTTTTGTGGACTTTCGGAATCGCAAGCCAATTTAAAATCCTGACAGGGGGAAGCGCTAGGAAAGCGCGACGGTGAAGTCTTAGCTTCATCTACTGATGCCTGCCTGCAGTGTTTGGGTAGGGGTACATATTGTGGTGCACAACGATCATCTTGGTTTTCTATAATCGTTGCAGAGTATTGTGTGCCAGTCGAACGCAGATATAAACAACTTTTCGATTTTTGTTGCTGGGAGGAGGGTATATAATATCCCGTCGCAGATTCTGGCTGCAGCGCCACAGCTAAATGAGAGTTGGCGGCTAATTGTCGAACCGGCGAATGAGTGTACTGGTCGCCCAACTTTTCGTATGGTATTTCGCTACCGCTTCGATGAGGAGATAAACATCTGCATGGCGATGATGGTGGAGAAACATTCTGCGGGGAGCATTGTCGGGATTTGCACATGTAAACATCTCCAGCATTTTGGCCGCAATACACACGTGGACTTGTCTTTTTAGGGCAGTGACTTGTAGAAGGTAGACAAGCAGATCCATAATCTGTTTCTCGCGGTCTCATGTATATTGTTGGTGATTCAAGACTGGGAAATGGACTCAGTACTTGAGATCTATCCGGCGCAGCTGCTCCTTTCTTCCTTCCAGAGCCGTATTGTTCGTCAAATGCGCCACTTTTGTCAATGCGTCCTCCACCTTTATCAGTCGTACTATCTGTCGTTGGTTTACTAGATGTATCGGGTGCTCCATTTACCCTTGCTCCTGGCTCTGTGTGGTCCTCTATTTGCCGTAATTTGTCAGTACCTCGGTACCTACCACTTCGTGTGCTTTTACCACTGTCATCCAGATCTTCAATTTTGATTTCTGGAACCTCCATAGCAGTTGGAAATTTCTGACCGCTGTCAGGAATTTCACGGGGGGATTCTGTTTCCTTACCCGTGCGATTAACTGTTTTAGAAATACGTGGAGCCACATACGTTTCGGTTTTCTCGCCCTTCCGCGGACGATAGATTATTGATGCTGTTTCTGTTGCATCGTTTTCTTCTTCAAACAATTTTGAATCAGGTCCATATGCTTCACGTTTCCCCCGTTTTCCACTGTGGATAGAGTCTGACTGTTCCATTATACCCGGAGTAGCTTTACTCTCTGATTTTAAACTGTCCGTGGGTGGTAAGGCGCCCATTGGTAGACTATCCGCTTCATTTATCTTGCCCGTTCTTAACTTACNCAGGAGGGTATATAATATCCCGTCGCAGATTCTGGCTGCAGCGCCACAGCTAAATGAGAGGTGGCGGCTAATTGTCGAACCGGCGAATGAGTGTACTGGTCGCCCAACTTTTCGTATGGTATTTCGCTACCGCTTCGATGAGGAGATAAACATCTGCATGGCGATGATGGTGGAGAAACATTCTGCGGGGAGCATTGTCGGGATTTGCACATGTAAACATCTCCAGCATTTTGGCCGCAATACACACGTGGACTTGTCTTTTTAGGGCAGTGACTTGTAGAAGGTAGACAAGCAGATCCATAATCTGTTTCTCGCGGTCTCATGTATATTGTTGGTGATTCAAGACTGGGAAATGGACTCAGTACTTGAGATCTATCCGGCGCAGCTGCTCCTTTCTTCCTTCCAGAGCCGTATTGTTCGTCAAATGCGCCACTTTTGTGAATGCGTCCTCCACCTTTATCAGTCGTACTATCTGTCGTTGGTTTACTAGATGTATCGGGTGCTCCATTTACCCTTGCTCCTGGCTCTGTGTGGTCCTCTATTTGCCGTAATTTGTCAGTACCTCGGTACCTACCACTTCGTGTGCTTTTACCACTGTCATCCAGATCTTCAATTTTGATTTCTGGAACCTCCATAGCAGTTGGAAATTTCTGACCGCTGTCAGGAATTTCACGGGGGGATTCTGTTTCCTTACCCGTGCGATTAACTGTTTTAGAAATACGTGGAGCCACATACGTTTCGGTTTTCTCGCCCTTCCGCGGACGATAGATTATTGATGCTGTTTCTGTTGCATCGTTTTCTTCTTCAAACAATTTTGAATCAGGTCCATATGCTTCACGTTTCCCCCGTTTTCCACTGTGGATAGAGTCTGACTGTTCCATTATACCCGGAGTAGCTTTACTCTCTGATTTTAAACTGTCCGTGGGTGGTAAGGCGCCCATTGGTAGACTATCCGCTTCATTTATCTTGCCCGTTCTTAACTTACTGTCAAGTCCATAGTCACGAGCTGAATGTAGCTTCCCACCTGGGGTAGATATAACACTATGATCACGACCATGCATTCGATCCGGTTTACACTGGAAATCAGGCGCAGAACGAGATGTATTGTCTAGGGAAAACCCGTTACCAGCAGCGGGTTGAACTTTACTTTCGTGCACTTTATTCGCCGGACCATCGGGTTCATACTTTTTATACGCATTTTGTTGGCTGTCGAGTATATCGCCGCGTGGTGTTCGACGTTCGTAGTCTCTATGGGAAGAACTATCATCATCACCAAATGCATAGGACCTATCCATTTCATACAGCCTGGGTTTCTCTGTAAGTCCGTATGCAGTAAATGAGTCGGACTTCGTACTATTAGTGTAACCGCTTCCAGTTCTAGGCTGACCACCGGGGCCGACGCTGACTGGTCTTTCTCTTAGATCCGTATTTCGTGATCGTAGTGAATCCGGTTTCATGCCATTAGTATAATCTCTTTGAGTTCTAAGCAGCGGATCTTGTCCGGTAACACTGCCTGGCCGGCCTCTTGTATCCGCTCCTCGTAATCTGTGCGAGATTTCACTGTCACGTTTTGAACGTTGTCCACGGTTTGGACTTGGGATTGGAGGAATATCACGAACTGTATCTTTTGGTACAGGCATTATGTCATAACTCCGATTCTGTGGTATGTGAATAAGTTCCCTATAGCCTCCAACATGTAGGGTGCCTATAGGTTGCGTGGCGGAGATGTCTTCCTCGTCTATCCAGGCATCACCCACGCGATAGTTGTCATAAACCTCTGTTATAGTGGGAACATCCACATGCCAATCATCTCCCAAACGAGGACGGTCCTCCGTTTGTCTTAGACGTTCATCCCACGATTTCTCGTCATCGTATTTGCTATTACCACCTCGGTCTTTACTCCTTTGCTGTTTCTTCTTTCGGTCTTCATCAGAGTTGCCTTCACTCTCCCCTTGCCTACAAGGCTTATATGCCGTAATCGTCATTTTCTTCATGGAACGTTTTGTTTCTCGCGAATATTCCCGAGTAGAAGCTTGCACCTCATACGGCATGTGCTCCTCCCCGGACTCCAATGAGTTTTGGTGTCGCCTTTCTTTTGTGAACGTTATTTGGAGTAACTTCTCATTGCTCTTCGTTTGGCGTGCCTTTTCCGAGGAGTCAGCGCTACCATGAGATTTATGCTCATGCGCCTGCCGCATGGCCTTATCCGGAGAAGACCCTTGGTAGAAACTTCGCTGCTTACTTATTTCAACGTCATTCTTTTTTCGTCGAGATTTGCTATGTGTACGGCCATGCCTCTCAATATCGACGAATGTGCGGCCATCCGTAGGTACGTCCACAGTCAAACGTTCCTTGTTGCTTGAATGCCTTGCATTATGTTGTTTAGTTGGTGAGCGCTTTCTGGGCGATGCGCCAGTGGGGTGATAAAACTCATTCGTATTTAGATCGCTCGGTTGTCGTCCATAGATCACTTCTTTCTTGGGCTTTGCTGGCTTACTTTCACTATATGTCGGACAAGGTGGCAAGTAGGTTACACATGGCTGACATGGCTGATACGGTACACAGGGTATGCAGGGTGCATTCGTAATCGGCACTACACAATTGTTCTGCTTGGGGTAGTCATAACGATACTCATCACGGCAGTACTTATACTCGCTGCATGGCGTCACGCCCTTCTCAACATAGGTGTTTTTGTTGCACAGCGTGCCATTGTATTTATCGACGCAGTTGTAGTGTTCACAAACTTTCTGACAACTGCTCTCATTTTGATTGAAACCCCCAGCGCACCGACAGTTTTGAAAATGGTACACTTTCATTGCTTTCTGACCATCACCCGTGCCTCCATAGTCAAAAGCATAGCAATTGGGCGGCGCTGGATCGAGCAGCCCTTTTGTTGCCTTTAAATTGGCCAGATTGGTGGCCGAGTAGTTTATGGCTGTATCAAGTTTTGCCTTGATATTTTGAAAATTCTCACAATCAATGCCGCTACGTCGTGTATCCTTTTGCAAACCGATTGTGCGCATGCGCGGCCGACACGAAGTTTGTTCGTCACGCGCGTAGCGTGGTGAGGTGCATACAAATTTATGCTGACTCGAAAACTTTTCGATCGTAAACTCGATATTATCGGCAATTGTATTGAATTGATCTAAGCTTAGTTTTGGCAATGCCTCATCCACACGAATATCGTTTTGTATGGCAGCGTTGCGCATCAATGGATACGGACGCGGTCTAAACATTAGTTTGTCACGTTCACGTTTCAGCTTAGCAATTTCATTATCGATTTCGTGTGCCAAACGCTTCAACTGTACCGATGTACGATTGACTGCCCGCTCCAGATGCGATCTATCGCGACAAGTGCTTACCACTGCGGCACTTTTCGGCGAGTTTCTGATAGTTTCGGTGGTATTGCGACCCGATTCGGCTGCCGGCGGCTGTGCTGTTGGTGTTGCACTGCGTTGCGGTTGCTGTTTATGATTTTTTTGCACCTCCTTCACATTCGGACGTGCAAAGCGTTCACGTAATATGGTCTTTCTGCGTTTTATATAACCGTTGTGATTACGTTCGGTTGTAAAGCTCTCCTTGCGTTCAAGTTCAATGCTGTCCCCTGCGCGAGAATGTATTTAGGTACATACATATGTGGGGAAACAGGAAATAGATTTATGTATATGTACGTATACATATATGTACGAATCGCATTCTGCTTACCCCTAACTTTAAGATCCTGATACCGCAATCCCATTAACTTATTTAATACACTTATTTTTTCTTATTTTTTCCTTTGATTCCCCAGAAATTTTAACAAATAAATTCTAAATAATACAAAATTTCGGCGATTTTCACCAATTGACTGCTTCTATAAAAAATATAACTCAAAAACAATGTTTCACTCAAATTTTGGTTAAAACCGAAATGTCAGAAGACAGATATGCAATCGAATTTATGGAAAATGGGTGATGCCAGGTGTTTTATAAGAATGATTGAGGAAAAAAGCGGTAGGCGATTTCAAAATTTATTTACACCGATTAGGCGGGAGACCGCTTATAGTTTATTTACGTTGATGAAAGCATGATATCTCTTTTTAAAGCGGCGTAATAGCAAAAGTCGTTTCCTCGTCTTTTCACAACTGCGGCAATGGCTGTGATAATCCCGATTATGTGACGAAGGAGCTGCCCCAAGCTGATGAGGTGCGCTAAATGGATCCTTATCCACCACCTTAAGATACTTTTCCATTTAAATTTTACGCTAGCAGTGAAAAAATCCGGTGATGTAGTGTTCCCAGGCACTTTAACCAAAACTGATTCAAGAGTATTCCAGTTACGCTATACATTTAAAGGTCTCGATAGCTCGACAAGTCTCTTAGTGTCCTTACATTGCTTCGTTTTCGTTGAACGCTTACGAAAGTCCTATGTAGATACCTTACTTAGCTTTCTGCCCGTGGACCGTTTTGAGAAATTTCAGGCATGCGTAAGATTAAACGTCTTATTAAAATAGAAAGACACTATATTCGGTCACACCAATATTCCTAACTAATTACCTCAACATTTTTTGGTCCCTAGACTACACTACAATGTCTGTTAATCTAGGGACGATTAGCTAAACGATGCAGTCTTCAGCCTACAAGAAAGCTCTACAGTCACATACACGGCTGGTTTCAAGCTAAATTTAGGAGGCGGAATACACTCGAAAAACCTGTGAAAATCACGCCACAGGCCTGGGATGTGGATGGCTGTCATATCCACGTCCCCGGCCTATATATATAGTAGGCATTTATAATCGTTAATTTTTAATAAAATTCACAAACCAATTAAAAACTTGTTAATTGTTAATCTCCACAATTACAATTAACCAATTGTTATTTGTAGTGCTAGCAGTAGTGTCCTTACAATAAAAATTTGACCAACACTGGCTGTGTGGCTTGGCGCGCCATTTTGCTGAAATCAAAAATCCTCCAAATCCGTGTCTTCGATTTACGGCAACGAAACGGTTATATTTCACCTGTAGCGCTCGCCGCTGACCGCTGAAATGGCGTTTCCAGTAGCATTTCCAAAGAAAAATCGGCCAATTATGCCACCAAAATCTGCACTAAACAGTCACTCTCTCTCGAATATCACGTCCAGGTTTTCCGCATTCCACATGTTGCATTTTGGCTTGTTAAAAAAAAAAAATAATAATAATAGAAAAACCCACTGTATGGACCACCCTGTATTTCCCGGTCTGAGCAAAGTTTTTGAAAGATTTTATAACACGATCACAAATATAGGTTTTTTTAAACACGTTTTACGGTAGCGTTTTATTGAGTCCAGAGTTCAGTTAAGGGATTCTAAAAAAATACGATACATTTACAAATATAAAATAATTCACAGTTAATACATACAATAGAATGCAGCTCACATAGTTACATAATATAAATATATAATTCTTGTTGCAAATACATATGCACTGTTTTGTTGTTTTATGCTTAACATCTGCCCACTTTATTGACATACCTACATACATTCATATAACTTGTTACAAGCGTGCAACATTATACCATCGTGGTAAATAGTTTATGTGCAATGTGATGTGTACTATTTTTTATTCAACTATGTCCCTTCTTTATTTATTTTCTTCACAATTACTAATTATCATTACAAACTTAGATTAAAGCTTTATTATGCTCTTATTAGCATTATGCTTGCGTTGTCGATTATAACTACGTACATACATGCGATTAACACTGTACTACATCATTGAAGGTCAAAAGAGAACTTTTAGAAATAAAAATCCCCGGCTAATCCGGCCGACTTTGGACTAAGACCTGCAACTTTTCGTTTAGTTACAGCATCCTCGAACATCTCTTCGGACTATGATTGAACGAAAGTGTGCCCGCCAACTGGAATTTCAGAAGGACCACTCTGCCATATCCGCCAACCACCGGGATCAGTTTTCTGAGCATCGTATTTAATATCCTAGTGATCGTGTTGTGTGAAAAACTGAAGTCTACCGCCAACCAACTGTGGCTTTATATCTGGTAAATCTTGGAAAAGGCCTCTGTGACTCGGCTCTCTTTGTCGATGTTAATATAATTTTCTGCACGAAAAGAAATTTCCTTAATTTGGTAACCCTTAAAAACTAATACGGTTGTGTAAAATGGCGTTGATCCGACAGTATAGGGAAAATCCCATCGAAAACGTTCGAAACCAAACTAGGTTTCAATCAAGGTATCCCACTGTCTAGTGTAATTTCTTTACTTTAATGTTAGAACAAATTCTTCTAGCTGAGGAAATAAATCGACATGTACTTTTCTCTTTATAAAGTTCTTGATGCACATAATCTTCGCCAAAAAGCGCAGAGTTCGTTTTCGTCGCTTAGCGCGCAATGCCTCGTATCCACCAAGGCACAGAAAGAAAATAGCTTTGGTTACCCCGTCTCACTAGCTAGAAGCTAGAAGCTCATACAGTATATTCCGTTTAGCTGCCTATTCGCTTAGGTGAATTTTTCGCTTACGTGTACAATTTTGCCAAAATACTGCTTCATGAAATGGATTTTGTACGAAATTTTCGCCTTTTTAGCTGCATTTCCGCTTAGCAACCCTTTTCCGTTTAACAGCCCTGTTTTGGAGTAAGTTTTCTTCGATTTGTACGAAAAATACTTCGCTTACCAGCAGTTAAATTTTTTCGAAGGTTATTTTTGCTTACGACATATCCTTCCTTTTGCGACCCTGTACGATGTATTCTCATCTTAAATAAGTAGTGGCGATGAAGACCCAGAAGAAAATAATACTGCTCCTGTAGCGACTTTTGTGAAAGAGGCATTATTCGCGTTAAATAATTTTAAACAAATTTTCATGAAAAACAAACAGTATCTATTGAAACAAAATAAATCACAGTTTTTGTTTTTTTTTTCACTTTGCTGCACATTTCACTTAAGTGCACCAAATCATTTGCAGTGGAAGTAAATGCAGCTAAACGGAATATACTTTGGTAAGTCAAGTTAGAAATCCCCTCAAAAATGTTGAGGAAAACGAGTTTTTTTTTGCTATCGGATTACATTACACGTGTTATTGCATATAGCGTATACGAGGAATTGTGCGGCAAGCTACGTTCTGCTTTTTCCAAATTGAATAGGCAAGCAATGCGAATGGGTTTTGAGGTGTACGAGATCAATACGAAGGCAACATATTCCACGCTATATATATGCGATGGCTTCTCCTTGTTCGAGTCGTAAAAGCGACAAAGATCATTTAACCATATCTCCAGCTTATTAAGATGTATTTATAATCTTCACTGCCCTGTGAATGCCTATTAGTATTGTTTGAGTGCAGCATGGCTATCACCAAGAGGTGTATAAAGTGCCGCTCTCTCTTAACGTCAAAAAAAAATATAAACAAACGAGTAATTTTGTTTTGTTCAATTTAACTATAGTACAAGTCGTAGTTATGAGAGCAATGTCAAATTCAATCACACTTTTTTACATCACTTAGGATTAGGATGCTCTAATTTCGCCAATTTCTTCATAAATTTCGCCCCGCACACAGACTGATGGCGTAGACTGATGGCGTAGATCCTATTCAATTTGGAATCTTATATTGTGAAAGGGGATGTCTCTTTGACCAACTTTGCCGAAGACATCACTACCCCAGTGTCCTTTTACGGAGGGTTGAAGTTTTGACATTTTGGCCGAAACTGGAATTAACTTATCAAAAATACCATGTTTGTATAAAACGATGTAAATTATAATCATAACCACAGGCTTCTTCAGTAAAATTTGGCGAGCAATTTATTTTGTAGAAAATTTTAAGCCTCTACCTTTTATCAAAGCGTGTCTTTTAAACCCTTATTTTAAAGGGGTTCCATATTATACCACTAAAAGTGACAGATAGAGGTCCAAAATTTTCTACAAAAATGTTAAGCAGAAAATTTTACTAGGGTTCACCGAAGATTATTCAACTGAACTTACCCCGATTCGGGATTCTACCATTAAACATAACTGACAAGCAGAGTTTTCCGATCGAAAAATATTGATTTTCCAGAATTCGATACAATTTCTACGAAACGTTGTTTTTTTTTCTCATATAAAATGCATGGAAAACTTTGAGCGCTGTGAGCGACCTCTAAATATTTTTTGATTCCAAAATAAAAAAATGGGGGTATATTTTTTCGATATAGAACAATCCTAGGGGGTTAGAGCATTAAAATTCAGACTTTACTGGTTTTGGACCACCCTAATGTATCTACATACATTTGCTGTAGATCTTTTATGTAATAGGTACACATCGCCTTTAATATCTGAAAAAGAAGGCTTCAACTTAACTACATACATACGAAAATATCAGTACTGCAAGAACGAAGTTGTGCGAAAATGTCTCTTGCACAGTGTAATATGCATTTATCATGTCTATTTGATAATGTTTGGCATGACGTTTCACTTTTTCCAATTATTTCAAGCAAACTATGTATACATACATGCATATGAATATACATATGTATATATTTTATTTATGAAATAAATATTAAAGCAAAATATGGGCATTTGAAATTAGGCGGCAAAAATTACATACATACATACACATGTAAGTTTTGATTTTATTATACATATGTATTGCTTGGTTGGTTTCTCATGCGTTTACTATGGCCTTGCTAAGTCTGTTGCGTAATTTTAGGCGCACACATTTTTGCTGCGTAATTGAAGGTGTATTACATTTTCATATACATATGTATTTAGTTCTTCAATCTAACGGCTATAATTTATTTTAATATATGTACATACACGCATGTACGTATATATTTTTCTCTAGTTAAATTTCCAGTCGCATCCGCTTTAGTATTGGTTTGCCACTAATTATTATTTTTCTTATTAGAAAGCGCACCGCGCACAATTTTAATACATATCTTTTAGTTAATAATTGTCAATTTTTATATTAATAGATGTACATAGATATTTATATATTTTTTTACAGCTCTATTTTTATGTATAAATTGTATCGTAATTTCATTAACTGCAACTTTTCCGGTTAAGGTATTTTCATGGTGGTTTTTTTAGTTGATAGTTATTGCACGATTCTTCTACATATATTGTTCTTGTTTCTAGCGTGTCGAGCTGAACTAATACAAGTAATTTTTAAGCAAAAAAACAATACGCAATTCAATTCTCATATAAAAGTTAATATTACCGTTAATTTCTTCATGATCCAATGATCGGATCTAAACCAAATAAATATGGAACCACCTCTAAGGTGCCACCTTTTCTTAAAAAAAAAAAATATGTTTATAGAAATCGGTTAACGTGGTCCAAAGTTATTCGCTAACATACATACATAAAAAAAATATTCCGGCGAATTCATAACTTCCTCCTTTTTTAAGTCGGTTAAAAATGTAAATATAGTTTTCTTCTCATGTGCATACTCGTACATATTGTGGTTCTACTGGAAAACTTTATATATCTAACAGAACAAATGATTTTAGAAAAGCGAATTTACGGTTACGACCGCCGCCATGAACAGAAGTTTATAAGTAATAAATAAAGATACTAATTAATAAAAACTGTAGAACTTAGCGCAGATTTACTCAGCGAAGCCGATAAGTGTAACATTTATTTTAAAATGAATTCCCTCCTTTTTAGGCATCGCACTGTGCGTAATTGGGATGATTTAGAGAAAGGAAAATCGAAAATGGATGTTGGTAAAAAAAAAGTTCAGATACGATATATGGCTGTCTAACATAATAGAAAATCATGCCTGTTTTGACGAACGATAATCGCTAGTTTTCCGGCCTTTATCAATCAGTGGTCGTATCCGTCTCATTTCCGAACGAGATTGCAGTCTTGGGTACACTTTTCATTTTACACATTGTAAACTTAATTAAAANAAAAAAAAAAAAAAATGAGATATCACTATTTTCATATAAGCATTGTATATCACCGTGTACAAATCGGATCTCTTCAGGAAGCTTTATTCGATCTATGTATCAAGGGTTAAAATAGTAAAAATTTGCACAAAATTGCACAATTAATGAAAAGTCGATTTAAAGTCAACCTTTGGTAAAAAAAAATCGTTTTGGTGACAAAAATTTTGTCATTGCCTTGTTTTAAAGCATGGCAGCTACAAATCTCATAAAAGAGAAATTTTTGAAATATGGGTGATATGGCGACTGTCATCAAACACGTGCAAGCATTTGTGTTTTAACAGCAGGACGATGTATTCGTTTAAAATCTCTAGTAAAAAATATCCTGCAGCAAAGTTCCTGCGAATTGTCCTCTATTCCCTCACAAGGGAGAAATATCCAGAATAGTACGCGAACAGAAAATTTGTAGAAACTTGCAAGTTAGACAAATAGCTCATAGAATTTTTTTTACTTTCAACAGTATTAAATTAAAAACGTAAGAAAACTGATCAATTAGTGTTATTCTGCACAGTTTATTGACTAAACGAATAATTACTTACTTCTTACAAGTTTATGTAGCCGTATTTTACCATTTTTAACATCCAAACCGTCAAATTCCATTTCGTGATTTGCGTGAATTTCAACCAGTTGTTTGCTGGTATTAACAAATTTTTACGAATTCTTACTGGTGAATAGAATAAATATGTTGTACCAGAATTTCGACAAAAATCCGATCTAGATTGCTCAACATATTGGCAGTTACCAAAATACAAAATAAGATTGCGTTCAGACGGGACTACACTTGTATTCATAACAGGCATGGAACTTAGAAATTCAGCGTTACTTTTTGCGCTTGTTTTTACTGTACTGAGGAATTATTTTATACTTTAATTGGGTTTTCGGAAGCTAGCCATTTTTTTTTTCGAAATCGGACAAGTTTTTGTATATTTATGTATTTTATTTAATATGCACTCTTACTTTGCTTTGTGAGGAATAATATTGTTTTAGTTTCCATATTCTGTTTCGCACCTTAAATTGCTATTTTCGGCTAAATTTTTTTTTTTTTTGTAACTCAGCTATTGCAATCAATTCAAGTAACTCAACACCCCGAAATTTTGACGGTTCGTTTTGCTGAGGGCATACTGTATAAGCATGTAAAAGTGCTCTGTAGCCAGTTTAATAACAGATGATTGGTGGTGTAGCATACCTTTAGGCACTAACTGTTGTTTGTCGCCTTAACAGTTATTCAAAAGGTCATATTTCGTCTCACTCTCCCTTCATACATGCATGTATGTAAGAATTCGAAAACTGCAAAAATACGTATTTGTCAGTTAAAGTAAACAAATAAGAATATTCAATAACTAGAGCCAATCAAGTATGTTGAAGGTCAGAAAAATCCTACAAGAACCAACTTCCAATGCTTGTCTTCGAATAATCGCACAACTTCTGAGTCTCAATTTTGATTGCTAAAAAGAAATGTGAAGTGTGTGGTTTGATGTTATCCAAGTAAGTAAGTAAGTTCTTTTCACATGATCACTGATAACCCTTTAACCACTAAAGATTGCATTTTTAATGCCAAGTCCAACTATTTAACTAAACTTAATGTGAACAATCAATTTCGCGGAAGTTAAACTTAATCAAAAACACCAGTTTAACTAGCTGTGAATAGCTGCTGCTAAGTCTCTCTAATACTAGACATTCTGTATGCTTGTCACACATTTAGCTTTAGCGAATTTTTCTAATCAAGCCGCAGATACGGTATCAGTAACTTTGCACAGGCTAAGAAAATATAAACTACTTGAATACACATATGCATTTATAGCCAAACGCCTTTTACATTTTGCAGTCCTCGGTTTCACATTTAACAGAGTTCCAAAAATTATTTCACACATATGTATGCGTTTTTGTTTTTTTTTTTTTGTATATATTTTTAATCTCGTGTTCATTTAAGCAACATGTATCTGTTTTGCTGATTATTTATGGCAAAAATATTACATCCTCATCCTTTCTGCATTTCTTTCGTTTTACTTTGCGAAAGTTCTTAATTCTCTTTAGTGCGCTTACATACATTATTAGCGTTTTATATGCATTTAAGTATGTGTAATTGTATATATCGCATATTTTGTAATGTAATTATTTTTGTTTGTATTTTATAATTTTTTTTAAATACTAATACTAATAAAAAATAGCAAATTGCTGTGAATAGGTGTTGAACGTACAATGACAGCCATAAGCGCCACAATCATAACAAAGAAAAATATACATACATGCAGCATAGTGCTGCGGTGTAAAGACACCGCTATACAAAGGTAAATTACTTTATTTTTCATACAAAAAAAATAGTTTCATTTAAAATTTACCATCGATTTATGATTTTACTAAAAGAAAGAGCATTACGTCCGCTTTCTCGCGTGCTCCACTATCACTTCAGCGTCATTTATTTTCTACCCGCTCCTCTCTTATGCCGCTCTCAAATTAATTAATTAACATTCAACTCCTAACGATGCACAAAGCACACTCCAAAGCGAAATGTGGTTAAAGAAAATGATAATAATTATAATATTACATTACTAAAACAATTTACATACAAAAAAGAAAATATTCGTTTAGTTTTGGCAGCGGCTTTTTTGTTCACCACCGTCAAATGCCATATTCTAACAAATTTTATTACTTCTTCTGCTTTGCAGAAAAAGCTATTGTAGTTGTTGTTGCAGTTGTGGGTTTTGTTGTTGCCAACATTGTAGTTGTATGTGTGCTTTCCTTTTGGCTGGGCGATAAGCTGCTTCTGCTTTTGGCATTTGCATTGCCATAGCCTTTGACGAGAGCCACTGCCGGCTTTTCAGCTTAAAGAAAAAGAAAACATTGTCATAGCTTAGATGGACGAATAGAAAACATACATATATTAAATTTAATTAATTACTTTTCATTAATTACCATTTTTTTGCTGAGTATCCTGCACAACGCTAGCGTCTCGTTGGTGCTTTACCGAAGCAGCGCTCAAGTCACTACCAACACCGCACACCTCATCACCGTGCTCGTCAATGGTCTGCATAACATTTATACCAACGGCGCCGCCAATTACTGTGGTAGTTACATTAGTTATAACGGCTGCTGGGTTAGCCTCTTCTTCTGACCCATGAGTGCTGGTTGGTGAATCTTTTTCCTCGGCAATACGCGGCAACATCTCACCCGGAGCTGGCAAAGCAATACTTGTGGGGGTACCAACAACTGCAACAGAATTTTGATCTGCTGTATTCAAAATACAGACACCAGACAATTGAGATTCATTTGATCCATCCAAATTTCCACCAGAACAAGTAGCTGTGTTTCCGCCACCACAGTTATTATTGGAAATTCCACCACTTGCGCTGGTGAAACTTTGTTGCATTGCATTTATTGGCGGCAATGTAGTCACTGCACATGTCGACGTTCCGCCAATACCAACACCACCACCACTAACACCACCAACATTCCCTCCTGTGCCTGTATTCGGGCGCCAAACACCGCCAATCACACGCTGTTGCGGCTGCTTTATCGGTGGTGAGCAGCAAAGCGGTGAAATCAGTGTACATTTTGCTTCAGCGCTACGCGGATGCAGCCGATCGGGCGAAAGCGCACGTCGTAGTAATGGCGAACTCGGCTCCCCTGTTTTGGTGCGCACGAAGCCGCTTTTCTTCGAGCCACTTCCTATGGTTTGCACTGCGGGCAGCGAACTGCCAGGACTGTATGATTGTGTGGTGTTCGAGGCGCCAGGCTGATGCCCCACAATAGGAAAAGCTAATGGCGATGGTGAACGTGTCGGTGAAGCTGGTAGCGGTGAAGGTGATGGCGTACGTGCTAATGGCGAGAGTGGTATATGACCGACAGATTTGCGGCGATTTGGAGGCAAAGCCCCAGCAGCGCTAGTATGAAGCGACTTTACAACGCCAGCGCCAGTGCTACCCGTTGGGCAAACGACAACGGCATTATTGCCACCACATCCGGCTGTATGTAATTTGTGCTTGAGACCATGTAGTGTCGATGGCCGTTGATAGAGTTGTGGTACTGAAGTGGGTGATACTGGAAAGTAAAGAAAAATTTTAGAATTATTTTGTGGCTTAATTTAGTCTGCATGTTATACCTGGAATGTTGCCACCGACAGCACTACTCCCTACTGTAGCAGCTGAACCAATTACACCACCCACGACGCTACTGGACGCGCCATGTGGCATCAAGACTCCTGGCGCAGTTGTGGAAATCGCCAATGCGGAAGTTTTTGTTGGTGTACTGGCAATTGTAGTCTGCGATTGTATGCCATTACCACCGGTTGGAGTATTCGGTGCCGATGAAGATGGTGACGTAGATTGCGATGAGTTGCCAGCGGATTGACAGCAGCTACTGCTATGATAAGAAGAATCCATAGGAGATAAATTGCGATTGCAATTATTGCCAACGCTAGGTCCACCAGATCCACTGACAACAGAGCTGGCTGCGGGATTGGTTGGAGAACCTGCAATACCCGCAGCGATCTAAGGACAACGAAAATACATATTTAACACGCTTAAAAATTCAGCTTGGAAAATAGTTTAAGCACTATCCCAGTAGATAATTTCAGGAGTTAAAAGCGCTTCTGAAAGGCCTTCCTGAGAGTCAATAGGACTTCCACTCTACATTCCCTTCTCCTTTCTTTTTTGTATGGAGTGGCACAAATTGAAGGGCTTCTTCTTTCGCTACCCATGGAACGCCTTCCAGAAGGGCTTTTATAGGGCATACTCCAGAAGGGCTTTTGGGGGAGTTCTTTTAAAGTTGCTTCTTTAATTTATAAAAATCATACATCTTTGAAGTATTTTTGCTTGCGGTTTATATCAAACATGTGTTATTGCAACTTGAAATGTTTATTGAAATTCATTTGTAATGCTAAATAATATAAATTAGGTTCGTTCGCGTAGCTGTTAATTGTTCATGTTTAACCAAAACTTACAAGTTTTTGCGTTCGCGTACGCAAAAAACTTGCAAAGTAGGGGAAATTGAGAGAGCAAAGTGACATTTCATTTTGAGGGGAAGCTGCTGGTTTCTGCTGGAAAAATTTTTGCCAACAGCAATTTGCCAACAGGAAAACAGCTGATCAAAAACAGCTGGTTGGCATTTACGCAAATCACAAAATTGAATTTGATGGTTTGGAAGTTAAAAATTACAAAATGCGACTAATTAAACTTGTAAGAAATAAGTAGTTATTTGTTTAATCAATGAACTGTGTCAGTATAACACTTTGTGATGGCTGTTCGTACGTTTTAAATTTTACACTTTTGAATGTAAACAAAAATTATATCAGCTGTTCGTATAACTTGCAAGTTTCTGCAAATTTTCTGTTCGCGTACTATTTTGGATATTTCTCTCTTGTGAGAGCACAGATGACATTTCGCCGGAGTTTGGCAGTTGGTTGGTTTCTGCTGGATATTTTAAACGAACGCACCTATTTATGCATTCGCGTAGAATATAAATGGATAAGCCCTTCTAGAATGCATGCAAGGAAGCACTTTTTTCAGCCCTTCTTGGGTAGGGCCTCTTAGAATGGCTTTACTTAAGAAGGCCTACCTAAATTATCTTCTGTGATTATCAAATTAAATAAATTCGTTTGGAGCATGGCTTTGGAGCAAAGGTTTTTATTCCATCGCTCCGCTTCAGCTCCACTCCGGCATTTCATTTCGCTCCGAGCTCCGCTCTTGCTCCACGCCCGCTTCCAATAAACAACTTTTTTATTTGTTTATTAACATATCGAGCCCTAACCGCCAAAAAACATAGGTGACATTTTTTTGAAAATTTTCTTTTTGATACAGAAATGCATCTTGTATACACTCCTGCATCAAAAAAAAAAAATTGAAAAAATGTCCAAGTTAATAAAATAGAATGAAAGAAGTTTATTTAACACTGTGTTTTTTTTTAGTGGCAAAAAAATAATATGTAATTTAAGTAAATTTATTAACTGAAAACTGTTATAAGTTATAACTATTAGGTGCGTTAGTTTAAAATCTCCAGCAGAAACCAACCAACTGCCAAATTTCGACGAAATGTCATCTGTTCTCTCACAAGAGAGAAATATCCAAAATAGTACGCGAACAGAAAATTCGCAGAAACTTGCAAGTTAGACGAACAGCTGATATAATTTTTGTTTACATTCAAAAGTGTAAAATTTAAAACGTACGAAAAGTCATCGCAAAGTGTTATACTGACACAGTTTATTGATTAAACAAATAACTACTTATTTCTTACAAGTTTAATTAGTCGCATTTTGTAATTTTTATCTTCCAAACCATCAAATTAAATTTTGTGATTTGCGTAAATGCCAACCAGCTGTTTTTGATCAGCTGTTTTCCTGTTGGCAAATTGCTGTTGGCAAAAATTTTTCCAGCAGAAACCAGCAGCTTGCCCTCAAAATGAAATGTCAGTTTGCTCTCTCAATTTCCCCTACTTTGCAAGTTTTTTGCGTACGCGAACGCAAAAACTTGTAAGTTTTGGTTAAACATGAACAATTAACAGCTACGCGAATGAACCTATTATTGAAAATTTTTGCGAAAAACAACAAAATATTTCAAATAAATCGTTACTAGGTTTTAAGGAGCTAAGGAGCAAACTAATTTTTTTTACGCTCCCTTTGTTCCTTAGCTACTTTCTCCTGTTTAGAGAAACCGGCTATATTAATTAGTAACTATAAAGTGTATTCAAATTTTAATTTTGCAATAGTGATTTTCCGATAGTTTAACCAAAAAAACTAGACAAAATTATCAGACTCCAACTGTATTATCAGATTCACACCAATGTATCTATTCGCTGAAAATAGTATATGTAAACAATCCGTTTAATGTTTTTGCTGTATTAGCGCTTGACCTCATCTTCATAAATAACCATCTTCTCCATGAAACTCTTCCACACTAAGGCCTAAGAAGCGCACGTTTTCTTTCGGGTGAGCCGGTTGAGTGCAAATATGCGTTTGAAAATATGGCCTGCTCAGCTCGGTAAAATCCTATTAATAGTTAAGTTCAATATGAGAAACGACTCCCGACGGTCTACATATTTATTTCTTTATGGGCTCCCTCTGTTTTTCTCTTTTGTACCTATTCACCGCCCTAACAGCTCACTTACCTGTTGTATCTCTGCCGAAGCACGTTTGCTACTAATCCTTCGAAAAAGTGACGTTTTGCGCTTCTTGTCGTGTTCCTTCTTCGTTTGCTTTTTCTGTCTATTTACGCCCTTTTTTGCTAACTTGCTTTGCATCAAATCACGCTTACGTCCACCACTCTGTATGCTTGTATGCTCCAAGGGAGTCGCACGCAACGTTACATGCTCACCGCCACTCAACAACAACTGTAATACTTGTGTGTGGTAGAGCCCTTGTACCAGTTCACCATTCACGTGTGTAATCAAGTCGGCAGGACGCAGTCCAGCTTCAAACGCAGGACTACCTTCCTCCACGGCCATCACCAAGTGATGCATTGTATAGAAATCTGTGTCTCCATAATAGACGCGGATCGTATGCACAGTGAAGCCAAAGCCACGTGGACCGCGTCTTATAATGATTGGTGGTTTTAAGTTGGTAACTAATGGCGAGAGATCGCGACACGGCGAAGTGTCACGCGAACTTGCTGTACTTGAGCCACCATTACCGCTGCCGCCACCACCACTTCCTATTCCGCTTCCAGGCGATTGTATACCAGCCGCTATACCGCATAGCTGCTGCGCCAACTGCTGATTATCCACAGCACTGGACATTAATGATAAGCCCAGTGCAGAAGCGGACTTCACAATTGACCTCGAACGATGTTTGCCCAAATGACCGTCCATTGATTTGTGATGATGCTGTAATGCGAGTGGCGATTGTTCACGCGTATTTTCCGCTGAAGAAGAGCCACCACTCACCGTCTCGTCCTCGATGGATATGGAGAATCGTGGTAGTATGTCTCGCGCGCATACGCCCTTACGTTTGCGATGAATTTGCGGTGAGAAATCGTCACTATCTGTAGCGGTAGATGATTCCGGTGTGCTGCGGGATGGTGCCGCAGCCGCAGGTATTAATGATGGATGTGGATATGTGGTTTTAGCTAAAGCAGTGGATGCAGCGGACGACGCGGTATTGGGTTCCTCATTTGCGGCTGCAGCAACTGCGGCTGCTTGTGCAGCAGCGGCACTTACTATCGTGGCTGGTGGTGTAGCAGGCGTGGTAATTATAGCTGTGGTCGATGGCGGCATGCTGTGACGTTGCGGTTGGCGTTCACGCTGCTGCAAGTAGGCTGTGCCGCTGCCAGCACTACTAGCAGGAGAGGCCGAAGGGCTGGATATAGACGACTGTCGTAGGAATTGATTGAGCAAGCGCAATTCGTTATCATTGCCGATGGTGATGTTGTGCAATAATTCTGGCAAATATTCGGCATCGGGTGTGGATGGCACTTTGAGGCAACCAGATGTTAGCTGTGAGAAAGAAGGGTTATAAAACAATTAATACTTTCAAATTTAAAGTGAAAGCAAGAGCAGCACTTACATCAAGTTTGCGCAATTGGGGTGTTGTTAACAGCTTATTCGCTATAAAATCGCTGCTCATGCTTGGTGACAATGCCGAGCTGTTTTTACATTTCACCAAAGCCAGTGACGAGTCAACCACGGTGCTGGTGTTTTCAGTAACAGAAGAGTTACCAGATGTGGTCACAATTTTGGCTATAACATCTTTTTTGGCCTTTGTTTGCTGTGCCGAGTTTTCTGTTCCACTGCTAGAAGCAGACGCTGAAACTGATGCCACACTCGTGGTAGTAGGTGTCATTGTGGTACTGGAGCTGCCTGAGGGCACACGAGACCACGAATAGTGTTGTTTGCGATATTGTGGCGTTAGTGAAGAGAATGAGCCGAAAACCGGCGTGTCATCGGTGTCATCAGTATCATCACCAGCTAAATCATGATTATATCGATCCATACGTGCTACAGATAAGTTCAAATGGTAGCGTGGTTCCACAAAAACAATTCAAGAATTGAGAAGCAAAACTTACTGTCAAAGTAGCTCGTATCATCCTCAGTAGACAATTGTGGCACGAACTCAGCCTTTTGTCGCAGCAGCGAATTCCAATCTAAACCTATAAAATATATGTGTTCTTTCACCTCCAAAGCCCCACCTTGAGTGCCAAGACGTTCGCGTGGATTTTGTTGCAACANTCAAATTTAAAGTGAAAGCAAGAGCAGCACTTACGTCAAGTTTGCGCAATTGGGGTGTTGTTAACAGCTTATTCGCTATAAAATCGCTGCTCATGCTTGGTGACAATGCCGAGCTGTTTTTACATTTCACCAAAGCCAGTGACGTGTCAACCACGGTGCTGGTGTTTTCAGTAACAGAAGAGTTACCAGATGTGGTCACAATATTGGCTATAACATCTTTTTTGGCATTTGTTTGCTGTGCCGAGTTTTCTGTTCCGNGCTTGGTGACAATGCCGAGCTGTTTTTACATTTCACCAAAGCCAGTGACGAGTCAACCACGGTGCTGGTGTTTTCAGTAACAGAAGAGTTACCAGATGTGGTCACAATTTTGGCTATAACATCTTTTTTGGCCTTTGTTTGCTGTGCCGAGTTTTCTGTTCCACTGCTAGAAGCAGACGCTGAAACTGATGCCACACTCGTGGTAGTAGGTGTCATTGTGGTACTGGAGCTGCCTGAGGGCACACGAGACCACGAATAGTGTTGTTTGCGATATTGTGGCGTTAGTGAAGAGAATGAGCCGAAAACCGGCGTGTCATCGGTGTCATCAGTATCATCACCAGCTAAGTCATGATTATATCGATCCATACGGGCTACAGATAAGTTCAAATGGTAGCGTGGTCCCACAAAAACAATTCAAGAATTGAGAAGCAAAACTTACTGTCAAAGTAGCTCGTATCATCCTCAGTAGACAATTGTGGCACGAACTCAGCCTTTTGTCGCAGCAGCGAATTCCAATCTAAACCTATAAAATATATGTGTTCTTTCACCTCCAAAGCCCCACCTTGAGTGCCAAGACGTTCGCGTGGATTTTGTTGCAACAATTGCGTTATAAGATCCTTTGCCTCTGGCTGTACATCCCAGTCCTCACTATCAGGCCACTCAATATCGTCGTTGACTGTATGCGCAAATAGCTCTTCGGTAGTCTCACCAAAAAAGGGGACACACCCAATCAGAAATTCATACAATATAATACCCATCGACCACCAATCGACCGGTTTGCCGTAACCCTGTCGCAATATCACCTCGGGTGCTATATATTCAGGAGTGCCGTAGACCTTGAATAAAGTGTCAAGTGTTTGAAAACACACCGTCAGAGGAACTAACTTATTTGAGNTAACCCTGTCGCAATATCACCTCGGGTGCTATATATTCAGGAGTGCCGTAAACCTTGAACAAAGTGTCAAGTGTTTGAAAACACACCGTCAGAGGAACTAACTTATTTGACATGCTTACCTGTTTGTCAGAAAACTGCCTAGTTTCGGAATCAATGTAGCCCTCGTATAAATTTGTTGCCAACGACATTAAACCCATTTTGGATAAGCCGAAATCGGTGAGTTTTATGTGCCCCAAAGCCGTTATGAGTAGGTTATCCGGCTTCAGATCACGATGCACAATGCCATAACTATGCAGATATTCCACCGCTAATACTGTTTCCGCAAAATAAAATCGCGCCATATCAGGTGGCAACGGCCCAATATTTTTCAAAAGCGTCGCACAATCGCCACCCTCAACATATTCCATTACCAAACACAAATGTTTTTTCGTCTCGAACGAACAGTACATGCTGACAACGAAGGGATTGTCGGCGAAGGAGAGTATATCACGTTCAGCAAATACCTGCTCCACCTGGTTACGCAGGATGAGATTATTTTTGTTGATTTTCTTCATAGCGAAACGTTGACGCGTAGTCTTATGCTTAACCAGGTACACCGCACCGTAGGCGCCATTTGAGATCAATTTCACGATATCGAAATCGTGTTCGTTTGGTATTGGCTGCGCTGTCTGTGTCGAGCGTTGAGCGAGAGTCGTTGTGGTAGTGGGCGTGGCGTTGGCCACTGCTGTGCAAATCGCTGCGGCAAAAGATGGAATCGGAACGTCTGGATCACCTGCCACTGGCGTTTGTGGTGGTTGCAAAGGCAACGGTGCATGTGGTGTACACGTGCCACTACTTGCTGGATGTGCATCCCCGACCAACAGTGCATTGGATGGGTTGAAATTAGCGGTTACACAAGTGTGCGGCGAATTTAAAAGCAATGGGCTACACTGACCCTGCGCCTGTGAAATGTCTGTGGCAGCGGCACCATCAGCGGCCGAGCGATTGCCTTCACAGACTGCTTGCGTTTCCTTCATCTCTTGCTGCATTTCAGCTATAGGATCGCGATTCAAACCTAACTTGTGAATAATATATTGCGGTATATCTGCCTTAATACCCTGTATTGCTTTTGCCTGGCCCTCAGCGGCTTCCAGAAGTTGATAGAACTCTTCGGGATCGAATTCTAAGCATTCGAGCAAACGTGCAGGACGTGATATGATTAGAAGCAACTTTTTGATGACACCAGTTAGCTCCGCGGCTGCCTCTGGAGACTTATCTTTCGTTTCCAATAACAAACGTTCGAGATTCTCACTCATTTCGTAGAAGTAACGGGATGTTATTAGCTTTGCTTCAGATTTATGTAAGCAATCTCGAGCCATTTCTAGTACTTGATGATGAACAAAGCTGCACGAAAGGAAGAAAAGTTTTTTTTTGGGAAGATAGGTTATATAAATATAAGATACATATATGTATATATGTATAGAATATATAATCTCATTACCGCACAATTGGCTGCGAGTCGCGAAAGCTATTGCATGCTACACTCTTATTCTCGTTTATAAAATGCTTTAGACGCTCCTCCATCTGCTGGGTAGCCTTTGGAAAGCGTTCCTTGTACAACGTATTCATCATAGCGATCTCATTGTCCACAATTGGTGAACGCGACGGACTTGAGAGCGAACGCGAACGTGGACGGTGAAAGGGCGACATGCGACCAGCAAATCCACCAGTAGAACCATTGTTATTACCACTACCACTGCCGCTACTACTACCGGCTGCACTAGGCGTACATGGAGCATTCGACCCTGCGGCCATAGTGGTGATATTTGTCGGTGTTCCGGGAATCGTTGCAGCAGCGACAGCGCAAACTTTACCACCCGCACATAAAACATTACTATCAGCACAACAGTTTGGACAGCGCGAACGCGGTTGGTGATGCGGCGGAGTCGAAATGATGTTTTTGTTAGTGTCAAGTGTACTTGTATTGCTGATGCTATTGAAACTAATATTGTTCGTTGTAGAGTGTGGGACGGACACTGTTTTGTTCGTTGTAGCTGTTGTTGTAGTCGCAGGTGTGGGCGTTGATGACGCATATGCGCCGGACATTAAAGCGCAATGCTTCTGACAGTGCACTCGTGGTGCCGCTGCTATGGCTGCCTGTAAATGCTCCACACAGCATGTAATCGCATTGGCGTCTTGTGCAGCATCATCGCTGGGAGGAATGTTTTGCAGCTGATGGAGCGCTTCTTGACTGGAACACTGCGACTGTAAGAAGGATAATGTTTGACAGCTACATATTTATTATATTCCGTTTAATTTTCATTTTACTCACCGACAAATTGGAACTACCAGGCGTAGTGCCATAGCCAGAAGAAGGCAATGATGCAACAGACCAGCGCCTGCCATCACCACGACATGAAGCGATGCGTTTTATGGGCGCAAATGGAAATTGCATTGGTGAATTTATACGTGGACTATCGACTGGACTCGCCGAATAGGGTGAGTGCGAGCGTGGTGAAGTGTTACAAGCGTTTATGCCAGCGGTTACTAAACTTAAACGATGATGTGCTACACCGCTGGATGTGCCACCAACACTACTGCCGCGCATTACCACGCCATGCAAATGATGTTTACCAATGCCTAATCCAGCGCTGCTGCCTGAGCGCGAAATATTCAATGCACCCGAAGTGGAGGCGGCGGCAGATCCGCCACCAGTGGCACAGCTGACAGTGTTTGGCGAGGAATTGCAGTGATGCATTGTGTGCGTCTGCACGTTACATGTGGCTGACGAATGCGACTGCGAGAGCACATGTGGACCTGGGCTAAAGTAAATTGAGGAATCATTGTTAGCACTAGCGCGCAAATAGCTGCCAGTGAGACAGGGAGCCGACTTTCCCAACGAGGAATTGCGCATACGTACGAGATTCGATGTATCTTGAAAGTAGAAAAATGGAGAAGTTGTTGATTTTTACTTATTTGGCAATGCATTGGTGCATTTGGAAAATAGTAACACAGAACCAAAAAATAATAATAATATAATAAATAAAATGTATAATCCGAATCTGCAGTCGGAATTCAAAATTTGGCTCTTCTTCGCTCTAACCTCAAAAACCTACCATAAGCATATCAGAAATATTTATGGTTATAAAGAAAAAATGAGCCAAATTATTAGATACTTCCAACTTTTGATTAGTATAAAATTCAAATTTTTCACGGTGTATACAGTGTGCAAATACTGACGTGTAATTTTTACAATTGTTTGTATGAATGTGTAAACTGTCAAATATGGATATCGAGCCCTAACCGCCAAAAATCCCCGAACGTAATTTTTTAATTTATTCTTTTTTTTTGATGCAGAAATGCATCGAAGTACATGTCTTGGGAGCATTTAATAATCTATTTTTGAGCTATAGGCCGTATGTTAAATAAAACATTAAAAGTTTTTCTGCTTTATTTAGTTTTATTTTTATATTGGTCGATATTTCGTCAGTCTGAAGGCATCTTCAGGAACTATTAGCTTTGTCCGGTCGACATAAAAATAAAAGTAAATAAAGCAGAAAAACGTTTAATGTTTTATTTAACATACGGCCTATAGCTCAAAAATAAATTCTTAAATTATATTAAACGGCCAATAACCCACACAGTTAGGAGCATTTCTTCATCAAAACGATCAAAACTAAATTGTTTAAGAAAATGTCGCTCACATTTTTTAGCGGTGAAAGCTCGATATGAAAAAAATAATAATTAAACATCAGTACCTACTTAAAACACTGTATACACTAAAATTTGTATGGGTCTGTGAAATTTGTGAATATATAAATATAACACAGCCCCACAAACAAAAGTTTGACCTGCAAATCTATTTTTTTAGGTTGGAAAGAAAAAACTAGCTATGAGATTTAAACTTCCGATTCGTATTTATCGGCCTAAAATCTATGAATCTATGGGTTGTGTAGTGTAATCATAAAACACTTACCATTGCTCGACGATCGCATGGAGTATCCATGCTGGTAGGAGATCTTACGCAATAGCGCATTATAACTGCGGCCCGGCAATGACACTGAACTGCCCGAAAGCCCACCCGAAGACGACTTGGTCAGGTTCGAGTTACGCAACAACGACACCGATGTTGTCAACGATGAGTTGCTGGCACTATTATCCCCGCCAGCTGCTTTCGGCGACGCCGTCAAAATTTCCAACCCAGTTGATGACTTGGCAGCGTTCACACTTGCTTCCTGCTTGCTGTTGATACGTGGGCTACCACCACCGCCGCTGCCACTGCCACCACTCGCGCCCAACTCCTGATCGGAATCATCAAAAACCAGCGCACGTGCCGAGTAACTTGATTGTGGGCGCATGCGTGCATGTGCGGTGGCGCTCAGGTGACGTTTTGCTACCGGGCTTCCCGTTGAGTTATTAGTTGAGGAAGATTTGTTAAAGCTAGCCGGCGCTGAAATGGAGCTCAAGTTGCGACTGCCCGGCGGATTAAATGTTGTGGCAACGCTATCGTCCGGATTAAAGGCAGCATCTAGCATTTCCCGTAACGAAACGTTAGGCGCATCACCCATGGCGGCGGCGGACTTACTGCCATCGCTGCCTCCACAGCTAAATTCAGCTGCAGCATCACAACGCTTATGTGGCGTTGAAGTAGAGATTATGCCACTAACGCTGTTGACACTGTCATTGCCGCTGCCGCTGCAGCTAGTGGCTGTTAGGAATGCTGTGGTGTTTGTGTTAGAATTCGTAGTTGTTGCATCACTGCAGGTGGTATGACTGATTGATGATGGTGCAGTAGTTGATACTATTGTTGTATGTGTATTATTGGTGGGGGAGTTAGTGGTGCTAATGGTGGGATGAGTTATGTTTTTGTTGCTTGTACGCGATTTTGGCTCTTCACGACTCATTTTCACAGACAGTCGTAACAAGGAATTGCTCGAATTTGAATTTTTTTCTGGCTTGGTCAAATTATATATTACCGCTCATTTAGTTTTTAATTTCCTTTAGACCTTCGCTCGACATTTTATCGCCCTTGCAAATATTTTTCGTGTTTATATACATATATGTAAATACTTAAATACATACATATTGTATGTATGCTTGAGTGATGATCTTGAATAAGTAAATAAATATGTTGTTTTTATAATGCTATAGGACTTTTATGTTTACTTTAAATATCTATTTTTTATTCTTTGACGTAAAATCGTCAATTATCGCTGGTTGCATGAGAAATATCGCAGCATTGCATTTAGTAAGCGGCAACATTTTATTTTATTTATTTATTTTTGAAGTGGCACTACGAAAAACCTGTTGAAGAAAGATTTTGTAAAATTTAGTAATAAATAAATAAGCATTAATTAATTTATCGAAATAGTGTAAGCTTTTAAAATAGAAAAGCGGAGAGTAAGAGCGCCAGCTTATTAGTCTGGTCCAGTTGTGGTCTGGATATTGCAGCCGTCTCAACAGCTACCTGCCCAGAGTCGAACCCAATACTTTTGATATGTGTCCGGCGGGGCTTACTAGTGCCGCTACAACAACAGCAGGGGCAGCTTATTTATCACTCGAACCTTAGCTTAAAAATGCCTCAGTTGTACAGTAACTTCCCAATTTTGGCTCTAGTAAATAGATTCTAGTTCAATGCTTCTACATTTTAATAATGCATTTCAATTAAGAAATAAGAGTGATTGTGTCAATTATGCTGTTCTGTTGTAATTGAATAGCATTTTTACCGGCAATTTGCAATGTTGTATTATCAATCGAAGTGCTATGTATAAGTCGATAAATTCAAAATTTCTGTTGTATTTGAGGCGTAACCTCGAACAACCAAGTCCTGCTAATAAATAGTTAAGCAGTAAGATGTAATTAGGCTCATTTTAATTGTATGACGCATGTAAATTTAATTAACCCTATATGTGAACCGTTTATTTTGATAGTGGCGTGAGTCACTTCATACCTCTTGTGCTTAAATGACCTGTTACTTGTAACCGAATGCATTTCTAAATATTTTTTTTTATCGTCATAAATTAATGACAAAACCTTTTAACTTTGTTTGATCAAGTTGAACAAATAGCCGACGCGTCCAGATACAAGTAACCGGTAATTAAAGTACAAGAGGTGTAAAGTGACTTATGCCACTTTCAAAATAAAAATGTATATATGTATGTATTTAGATTGATAATAACCATACGCAAACAACTGCAGCATAGTGTGATGAAGAATTTAGCAGATTAATAAACATTTTAAGTCAAATGTCAAAAAGGACAGGACACTTGATAAATTAATGATTGTTAAGACCATGTCAACAGCGACTTCGTACGTGGAAATAAGCGCTTTGTCAGTTCCACTTTTTCGGTACTTCAGCGAAATTACATTTATATTT